TCCCCAATTCTCGGGGCAACTCACTATGTGGATGCCATGAACAATTAATTAGTGAAGACCTGTAATTTTAAGAAAACACCAGTAGAGGGATCCACAGTTCTATCCTTAACTTGATACTTGGCAAAACAAAAGTAAATCCCCAAATTCCAGATAAGTAGGTGATATAATCCAAAAGCATGACTAGTGGATTATAATTAGGGGATATTATATGACTATCAAAAAAAAAAACCTATGTCATTTAATAATCCAATGTGACTCCAGATTTCTCCTTTTTAGGGAAGTCTAATGAAACGTGCTTATTTAAATGTATTTCTAGCTCCTCTATGTAAATGCACTCAAATTTAGGTCTCTTATTCTAATCTGAATACACAGTCTGATGTGTATTAGGAAACTGGACTACTAAAAATAATTAGTCCAAGATTCGAAATACCCCATAAAACTGATGAGTTTTAGTTTTGAACATAACTGATAAAATTCCTCTAAGAAGCTAAAGCAAAAATTGGTCATTATGCCTTTTACTTTTGCTTTTTAAATCCTATAGTAGGGTGATTCTTGGTTCTTGTCCAGGGATGGCCTAGTGAAGAAAGATTAAATTATCTGTAAATTATTTATGTTATCAGTTTGTACGTTCTATTTTTCCCTACCTTCTTGTGGTGATATATTCCTGACTAAAGCAATTTGTTCCTGTTAAAACCAGTCCAGGAGCCAAACTGCTGTCACAAATCATTCAGCGTTGACTGGAAAACTTGTAATTTCAACTCCATGAATTTTTTCTCAGTAAATCCACTGATACTGGGAAGTGTGAATAACTACTATTTAGTAGTAATTACTTATCCTATCTGCCTAAAAAGGGAGCAACCAACCTGAAGATCAAATTTACAAACCACATTTTAAGTGTGGAAAAGTTCTGTATTCAGTTGTTATACCATTTATTAATTCAAATTTGAAGTCTTCCAATTTGTTGGCTTCTCTAGAGAAGATAAAATTTTACTCAATTGCTGTCTTTGGGTGTTTGATGACTGTGACTAGCCATGACTGGCTGAGGTCATAGGCAAAGATGAGGAATTTTTCACACAAACACACACACACACACACACACACACACACACTACAACTACAGAGAATTAATTCTTGATCAATGTTAGCCCAAAGACTAAATTTCAATTTTGTGTGAATGCTGGGCAAAGGGAAAACTTGGGTTCTGTTGCCATCTCTCTGTTGGCAACTTAAGACCCACTCTGTCAATTCGGTGACAAGATCCCCAGCTACATAAACTAGTTTATGTGTTTGGTAAGAGTTAAGCAGGAGTGCACAATTTTGTTCATTGTTGTGAAGGAATAAAGGCAAGAAACAGCCAAATGAACAAATAGACATAAGACCGAATATTTAGTTTTAAAAAAAGGATTATAGAGTGTCAATGTATTTTAAAGGAGTTATGTTAAAACCCATTTAAAATTTTCAGGACCTAGTTTGTGCAGACATATAAACAGGTCTCAGTAAGTTCAGCCTCTTGCTTTTTTCCATGGCTCCTGAGTCAGCACTCTTGAGACAGTTGTCTTGCTGATGGGACTGCTTGTTATTCTAAATGCCACTCTTGTCTTGTCAGTGTTTTTCTTGGCCCCTTAGGAAACAAAGGTCTCCTTTGGCAGGTTCCTTCCTTGTGTGTACTGCACGCCAGGCACTGTACCAAGTACTTCACATCCCTGGTAATTTTTCAAGCCTCCCAACAAATTATGAGGGAGAAATGATCTCCCTGTTTTACAGAAGAAATGGAAACACGAAGATACCTGATTATCCATGTCACCTCCATCAGTTTGAGACCCTATGGCAGTTCAGAGCAGAGAACTGCTCCCATCAGTCCCCAAGGTGCTCACTGGCCTTCCTGGAACTGCTCCTCCTGCAGTTCCCATCAGGATGGGAAGGCAGGGAATTGGGTGGGGCAGTGTCAAAAGCCCAGATCCTTAAAGTCAAAGAATTTCCTTCTCTATCTAAAGTTTGCATTCATTTATGCTTCACCACTGCCTCATTTTGTTAGCACCTGTCTTCATTTTTTTCATAATGTATCCTTTTCCTAATCCTCTACCTTAACATTTTTAAGTAACTCCACTTAATAAAAGCAATTCTATAAAGTTTTCCCCAGGGAGAAAGTTTGATGACCCAGGAAAAGGACCTAGAGTGGCACTTGCTGCTGCTCTCAGGCATGAGGGGAGTTAGGAGAAAGAGAAGGAAGAGGAGGAGGAAAGAAAAGCATAGCATAAAGCATTGCCTATCTATCAGAGAGTTTGTCTTAAAAGAAAATTTATCTTAATGAATTTATATGCTGCCGTACCCTGAGACATGTCTCTTCCTACCAAAGAAAAATTTGCTTTATTAGAAAGCAAAATTAAAACTTTAAATCTATGTTGCATCCTTCTTTTTTTTTTTTTTTGGTACTGAGGATTGAACTCAGAGGTGCTTAACCACTGAGCCACATCCCCAGCTCTTTTTTATATTTTATTTAGAGATAGGGTTTCACTGAGTTTTTTAGGACCTCGCTAAATTGCTGAGGTTGTTGTTGA